CAAAACAAACCTATGAAACAACTCGATTGAGAGTTAAGAAAACTAACAGGTAATAGATGATTTCAAAAGTAACTGATATGACATGTTCCCAAACACTTGGGAAACAAAAAATAGATGAGTAAATATGAAATAAATTTCAAGTTTTACGATGAATAATTGGTTCCAAATAAATTAATCTCAAGAAATTCTAACGACTTATTCGGGATTAGAGGAAAAGGAAACATCTCACAATCAACTTTATTGATCTGAATGAATAGATCTCAGAAAATGAAACTTTTGTTTGGTAGTTAAGAAAAATTGTTCCAAAATTACAGCTATTGAGGAAGCATAANTATGAATAAATAGATCTCAGAAAATGAAACTTCTGTTTGGTAGTTAAGAAAAATTGTTCCAAAATTACAGCTATTGAGGAAGCATAATAGTAGTAAATAGATGCCAGGTTAATTGAGTCTAAAATACATCACTACAAGAAAGTTCACTTTCATAAAAGTTAGCAATTTGTGATTCTTACTACTATTAAGCAAAAAATAAAAATAAACATTTGGTGTGCACTTACAAAATCAAAACACTGCCAACAATTAAATATAAAAGGTGACTGCCATCAACATGTGTGTGTTGACGGTGACCAACGTCAGCATGTGTGTTGGAAGGTGTATAAAGAGAGAATGAGTATGAGATATACAGAGAGGATAGGGAAAGAGTTATACGAGAGATGTGATAAACAGAAAGAGAGAATTATATGAGATATGAGATAGAGAGAGACATATAATGTGTTTAAAAGAGATATGAGACAGAGAGATATATAGAGTGTGTGTTTAAAAGAGATGTAAGATGAAAAGAAAGAATTACACGTATAAGAGTTGAGTATATGAGATAAGGAGCGAGAGCGTCTATGAGAAAGAGATAGAGAGAGTTATATGAAAGATGAGAGAGTATCTGTTTAATATGTCTAAGAGATAGGAGAGATAGAAAGAAAGAAAAAAAGAGAGAAAGTTATATGAGTGATGAGAGAATACATGTTTAAAATATCTAAGAAATAAAAGAGAGAGTTATATAAGAAATAAAAGTCAATTCTAAGAGAGAGAGAGAGAGAAACATATGAGAGTTGGGTATATGAAAGAGAGTTANGAAATAAAAGTCAATTCTAAGAGAGAGAGAGAGAGAAACATATGAGAGTTGGGTATATGAAAGAGAGTTATATGAGAAATGTGAGTGTGTTTAAAACGTCTAAGAGATATGAGAGAGCGAGAGAGAGAAAGATAAGAGTGTGTGTTTAAAAGGTTGATGAGATAGAGAGAGAGAGAGTTATGTAAGAGATGAGAGTCTTAGAGTTGTAAAATGTCCGATTAGGATCGTCGAATCAATAATCCTAAAATAATTTGAACCGCGAAAAGGTCAAGATAGACAAAGCTAATTAATAGAAAGAGAAAGAGATAGTTATATGAGAGATGACAGAATGTGTGTTTAAAACGTTTAAGAGATATGACAGGGAGAGAAAGTTATATGAGGAATGAAAGTCTATGCTAATAGAGAAAGAATATGNGAAAGATGAGAGAGTATCTGTTTAATATGTCTAAGAGATAGGAGAGATAGAAAGAAAGAAAAAAAGAGAGAAAGTTATATGAGTGATGAGAGAATACATGTTTAAAATATCTAAGAAATAAAAGAGAGAGTTATATAAGGAATAAAAGTCAATGCTAAGAGAGAGAGAGAGAGAGAGAAACATATGAGAGTTGGGTATATGAAAGAGAGTATATATGAGAAATGTGAGAGTGTGTTTAAAACGTCTAAGAGATATGAGAGAGCGAGAGAGAGAAAGATAAGAGTGTGTGTTTAAAAGATTGATGAGAGAGAGAGAGAGAGTTATGTAAGAGATGAGAGTCTTAGAGTTGTAAAATGTCTGATTAGGATCGTCGAATCAATAATCCTAAAATAATTTGAACCGCGAAAAGCTCAAGATAAACAAAGCTAATTAATAGAAAGAGAAAGAGATAGTTATATGAGAGATGACAGAATGTGTGTTTAAAACGTTTAAGAGATATGAGAGGGAGAGAAAGTTATATGAGGAATGAAAGTCTATGCTAATAGAGAAAGAATATGAGATAGGAGAGAAAGAGAGAGACGTATGAGAGTTGGGCGTATGAGGGAAAGTTATATGAGTGATGTGAGAGTGTGTGTTTAAAAAATATATGAAATAGATAGAGAATTATATGAGATGAGAGAGTGTGTTTAAAAGAGTTATGAGTTTAGAGAGAGTTATATAAAAGATGGGAGATTGTGTTTGCTAAGAGAGAAAGAGTATGAGATATGGAGAGAAAGAAATAGAGTGTGTGTTTAAAAGAGATATAAAATAGAGAGTTATATACATATGAGAGTTGGGTCTATGAGATAAAGGAAGAGAGATGGTGAGAGTTATATGAGAGATGAGAGTCTTAAAGTTGTAAAATAAATGAAAGTTCAATTAAGATCGTTCAAACGATCTGAACCACAAAAAGCGGAAGACAAACATAACTAATTCAGAGAGAGAAAGAGTTATACGAGAGATGAGAGAATGTATGTTTAAAATGTCTAAAAGATAGGAGAGAGAGAAACAAAGTTATATATGAAATGAAAGTCAATACTAATAGAGAGAGTATGAGCTAGGAGAGAGATGTATGAGAGTTGGGTGTATGAAAGAGAGAGTTATATGATAAATCAAAGAGAATGTGTTTAAAAGAGATATGAGATAAAGAGAGAGTTATATAAAAGATAAGAGAATGTGTTTGCTAAGAGAGAAGAGTATGAGAGAGATATAAAGTGTGTGTTTAAAAAAGATATGACATAGAGAGAGAGTTATATATGTGTGAGATAGATGGAGAGAGAGAGAGAGAGAGAGAGAGAGTTATAAGAAAGATGAGATTTCTAGAGTTGTGAAAAGAATAAAAATCTAATTAGAATCGTCGGATCAATAATTTTCAAACGATTTGAGTAGCAAAAAATTCAAGACAAATAAAACTAGTTCTTTTATTATATAGATACATAAAAATATATTGATTCATATCTCTAACTGTAAGTAGTAGAAAATAAAGTTTAACGAACCAATACTTTACAAACAAATACTCATTAACCACTTGAATAAATTCACTTTGCTCAACTTTTTTTTTTGGGGTTTTTTGCACTTTGTATCTTAAAAACTTTTAAAATTTTTATTTTATACTCTTAAAGATTAAATTTCTCACATTGTATTCTCAATATATAAAAAATGTTATAATGTGACTCTTCTATTAGCTTCACTTATTTTTTAGGTCAAAAGACAACCCATTGACACTAACGAAAAAATTAATAAAGATATCACATTACAATTATTTTTATATAATGAGGGTATAATCTAAAAAAATTAATTTTGAGGGTACAAGTTATCTTTTAAAATCTTTTACAAGTAATCTTTTAAAATCTTTCATTCAAAGTGTAATTCACACTTTTTTTTATGCTTCCTGCATGCTTTTGCTGAAAACACCCATTTAGTTGAATCTTGATGTCAACCTCCACGTAATAGTTTTTTTTTTTTTAATAATAAATGTTTTAAAGTAAAAAACTGTCAATGAATCATATCTATTTCAACAACATTACACATATCACTTTCAATGTTACACATATCTCCTTATTACATCACCTTTGTGTATTATCTTATCATAGACCATTAAATTAATAGGTTACATAAAGTTTATTAAATATCAAATGACTTTGATAAGAGAAATGGTGGGCAAAGGTAAAGTCACAAACATTATTCTATTTGTTTTACATAAGAAAAAAAAACATCTATCCATTTTACATCAAGAGGGTTTTTTTGGTAATTTGAAGGACATAAAAGGATTAAAATAGGGAGAATTACATCTAGATCATTTAAGGTTTGTTACTTAATCACTCAAATCCTTGACATTTAAAATATTACATACAGACATTTTAAAGTTTGTATGCACGTAACACTTAAACTCTATTGTAAATATATCTATTTAATAAATTATACTTAGACTCCCGTAAAGTTTGTGAGTATATAATATTTAGACCCTTTAAATTTAAAATAATATATTTAGACTAAAAATACTCCAATCAAATATAAAATATAAAATATTTTAAATTTTACTACAAAAATTTATGTTCTATTGTAAAATTTATTGAAATAAATTTAAAAATAAAATTTAATTTTTCTTAAAAAAATTATAATTGGTATACAATTATATTATCTATTAAAATTTAATGTAGTCATTTAAACGACCAAATTAAAATACCAAACTACCCCAATTAAATCAAAAAGATATTGTGTCAATTATAGTTTGATTCATTGTTTAATTTTTTAGTTTTGTTCTAATAGACAGTATAAAAATATACTAACGATGTTTTTTTTTTTAAAATAATTTTTTATTTTTGATTTTATTTCAATAAATGAAATAATAGAACATGAATTTTGGATGTAAAATTTATTTTCTATTATGAATAACTTATACTCATTGTTTGATTTTTTAGTTTTACTCCAATAGATAGTATAATTGTATGTTAATTACGATTATTTAAGAAAAAATTTAATTTTTAATTTTAATTTTATTTCAATAAATAATACAATAGAACATGAATTTGCATTATAAAATTTAAAATATTTGATATTTGATATTCGATTGGAGTATTTTTAGTCTAAGTATAATATTTTAAACTTAAAATATTTAAATATTTTATACCTATAAACTTTAGGAGAGTCTAAATTTATTAACAGATATATTTATAACAGGAGTTTAAGTGTTACGCGTGTATAAATGTTAAGGGGTCTGTATATAATATTTCAAATGTCAAAAAATCTAATAGATTAAATTATAAATTTTAAAGGGTCTGATCGTAATTCTGTCTTACAAAATAAGAGTGTGACAAACCACAACTCATTAGTTTTTTTTAGAACATTCAACTCATTAGTTGGGTTTATATTTGTGTTCTCTCTCTTTCTCTCTCTCTCTCTCTCTCTCTCTCCTCCTCCGCTGCATAGCGAGTCTGAGTCTTCGTTCGGCACATTCACCGTCTCTTTCTCCGATATTGTTCACAGCCGGAGTCACCCATTAATCTCCGTCTGTGTATCTATCATATATATCGATCACCGTTTAGTCGGAGAGAGAAATCTGAAATGGCATTCGAAAAGATCAAGGTCGCCAACCCCATCGTTGAGATGGATGGTGAGAAGACCTTACATGCCCCTCTCTCTCTCTCTCACTCCCCCTCCCTCTCTATACCTTTTATTCTTCCTGTGGGATGTTCTGATTTATTTATCTGCTTAGTTGGAATTATCAGATTCAGATTGGTTCTTGTGATTAATTGTTTCTTTTTCATTTAACTGTGCGCTATGATTAGCTATCGATCGACTATTGATAACATACTTCAAGGAAAAGATTAAGTTTTGATTTTAGCAAATTAAATTTTATGGGCCATCTCAAGCTATCGTGCTTTTCACCTCTGGTATATTCCTTTTCTTCTCAGGGTGATAGTGGGGTCCGGTTTCTTTCAAGTATGAACTTGATCTGCCAATTTATACGGATGAATGTTCCTACCTATTTTCTTTTTGATTTAACACTTTTCAAGCAGACTTCACAAATAAAGTTTTAACCATGATTCATATTCATTATAAAGTTGCTTTGAAATGGGTTAATGTGATTCTAGCAATAGAAATATGCAGCAGTACGGAAGAATATTTTATTGTGTTGGGGCTTTGGACCTGTTTAGTGGGTGGGTGGCTACATTTAATTGACACAGATGCACAAAATTATTTATTGTTTTGACTAGCTCTGGAATCTGGATGTGAACAATATGAATAACTACTTGGCGTGCTGTCCTTTTCTTTCCCATATTTTCCATGCACAGTATTCTTCTAGGAAGCAGTAGTCCATGTAATGGATTGCAGGTCCAAACCTTGGTGGGTTTTGGGTCATTCTTATGTTGGACAAAGGATCCACTAGACAGGCCTTTTAATCCTGTCATGAAATCTTCATATAAGATAAGGTGATTGACCAATTAGCGGCAAGTTTTTCTTTTGATGTTCTGTACTCTTCTACGCTTGAGAGGATTCATGGATCCATCTCAGTTTCTTTGTATCATATTTGGCTGTTGAGTCCAAGTGAATCTAGATTGTCTTTGTACATTGTGAAATTGAAGATGGATTCAACCTTGTTTCCTCCCCTAGTCCCTTGTCAGCAATAAGAATCAAATCTTCTACCCCAGTACCTGCTGTCTAAATGCCATGTTGGCACTTTTACCATTTGTTATAAAGGTTTTTGGTGTAGATATGAGTGCCAATGAAATACCGTCCCACATAAAATGCTTCAAAATATAGACTGATTTTGTGAATGTGTATGCACTCGTGTACTTTTGTGAATTTTATGCTTGTATGTGTGTACATTTATGTTTGTGGGCTCTAGTAGGTACACATTTATGTGCAATTTTACCTGTGTAATTTATGTATTATGAGGTGACATGCTTGTATATGATAACCATTTGCGATTTCTCGATAGTTGGAGTATTCACATGACTTAGAAGTTAGAATGCTTTTAACTGGAAAACAGTAAAGTTTGCTGTTTAGCCAGGAGAGGGGTCAAAAACTTGGACTCTCAGTTCTCTGCATTCGCACTTTCATTGAATGCATTTCTAGAATAGACCGGTTTTCTTGCTATTCATAACGCCTCTCCAAGTTCCCCTCACAATGGTAAGGCCTGAGAGTGTGTATATGGCGAGGTGTATGTTTAGGGCTTCAAATGGTAACTTCTATATGGGCTACAGTGGTATTGCTAATAGAAATGCAGATGATAGGCCTGACTGCAATGGCAGACTTCTTGAACATTTATTTTGGTATTTGAATTACACAAATAGAAGCAAGTTTTTGAGCTACCTCTGGTTTTCTCGGGTCTATTTTCTTTCTATGTTAGGATTACATGACCTAAGACTTCATACCATAGAACAGAGGCTACTGGTGCTATTAAGAATACTGAAAGGCTTTTTCTCCATCTGAGAGAAAATCTGAGGATTTGCAAAATTCATATGTTTTCTGAAATGACTGAAGTAGAACAGAAGATTCCATAACAACTTTCTCTAGAACCAAATTTGCAAATAGCTATTCGGATAAATGGTTCAAGTTATTATGTAGAGAAAAGGAAAGAGATATTGCCTGAGCCGTAAACCCTGAATTTTAATCTAAATTTTCACATTTTTTTTCAATTTTCTAAGCAAATAAAATTGTCTTTGCTTTTTATTTTTACACCATTCATCCTATTTCCATTATGCAGGAGATGAAATGACTCGAGTGTTCTGGAAATCAATAAAGGATAAGGTAATACACATTTCCTGGTAATTACTTTTCACTAATATGCTTCCCTAATTGTTGTAGATTGTGTTCATGTAGCTGGGAACTTATATTAATGGCATTCATGTACTGCAGCTCATTTTCCCCTTTTTGGAGTTGGATATTAAGTACTTCGACCTTGGACTTCCTTATCGTGATGCCACCGATGATAAAGTTACAGTTGAAAGTGCGGAAGCTACTCTTAAGTATGTTTTGGTACTTCTCTATTGTAATTTGACAGAATTTGGAAAGCCAATTGCTTTAATAAGAAAATTTGTGCCATATCTTCCTATCATACAACTTCTCCTGTGTCTTCTGATTCTCTATTTTGTATCATATTTTATTGGCATTTTGCCACTTAAGTTGGGATCTTCTGCTTTTGTGTTTGCAGCTTTTGTTTTTGGTGAAGTCTTATGTATATGGTGTACCTGCAGGTACAATGTAGCAATCAAGTGTGCAACCATTACTCCAGGTGCAAATGGCTGAGTTTTACAGGAACAGAACTATTGAACACTTGATATTCTTACTGGGAAGCTGCTGCTTTATCATTATGAAGTTTAGGAAAAATCTGATATTGTGGATTGGTAATTTACAGATGAAGCTCGTGTGAAAGAGTTTAGCTTGAAGCAGATGTGGAAGAGTCCAAATGGGACCATTAGGAACATTCTGAATGGTCAGCAACCTTGCCACCAGCAGTTGTAGTTTTTGGAGCTCATACTTGCTTCATATTATGTATTCATTGGTGATGGCTCATTACAATCGACAATTATTGCAGGCACGGTTTTCAGGGAACCAATTATTTGCAAAAATGTTCCCAGGCTTGTCCCAGGTAAACAATATTTTTGGAGTTTCTGTTTTCATTTTTTTAATTTGATGAAACAGTGCATTACCTATTGGTCCTGTCTACAGGATGGACAAAGCCAATATGTATTGGAAGGCATGCTTTTGGTGATCAATACCGAGCAACTGATGCAGTCATCAAAGGAGCTGGGAAACTAAAAATGGTGTTTGGTAATGTTGGATAATTTCTCAAATTGCTCCCTCCTTCCTGGATGGTTTTCTATGACTTCTGTCCTTATCTTACCCCTATTATGTTTTTCTGGTTGCTGACGACTTGATTTCGTTTTGTCATTCCTGCTTTGTTACCTTGATTGTTTCTCTAATTATGCTTAAAGGGTGATGTGTATGCAGTTCCAGAAGGGAAGGAAGAAAAGACGGAGTTGGAGGTTTTCAACTTTACTGGTGCTGGGGGAGTTGCTTTGTCTATGTACAACACTGATGAGGTTTGGTTTGCAAATTATCTGCTGATATTTGAAGTCATATTTTCGATTGACACAGAGTACTGATATTTTTCTTTTCATGTTTCTATTTAAGTACAGTCCATTTGTGCCTTTGCTGAAGCTTCAATGAACACTGCTTACCAGAAAAAATGGCCGCTCTACCTTAGCACAAAAAATACTATTCTTAAGAAGTATGATGGAAGGTAGGCTGCTTGCTTGTTCAGTCTGTCATTTTATTTTGGTAACATTTTTTTATTTTTTTCTTGTACTTTTAATCTTGTGGTAGCTATCTATTGTCCTATTGATTTCCGTTGCATATTATTTTCGATTTGTCGAACTTTTATATCAGCAATGTTTTTCTCATCATTTTTTTCTGGATGAAGATTTAAGGATATATTTCAAGAAGTTTATGAAGCCAATTGGAAATCAAAGTTTGAAGCTGCTGGGATATGGTGAGTGGGTGAACTTGATAGGCTAGCAAGCTGGTTTTTTGTAGTTTCTAGTAAATGTTATGATCGTGCATGCGATTTCATGTGTAGGTATGAACACCGTCTCATTGATGATATGGTAGCTTATGCTCTTAAGAGTGAAGGAGGTTATGTATGGGCTTGTAAAAACTATGACGGGGATGTTCAGAGTGACTTCTTAGCGCAAGGTATTCATGAAAAGCTCTTATAACCTCCAATCTACATTAAATCATGCAGATCCTTGTAGGCTACTTTATTGCTTAACCTTAATAGAGGCTTGCTAAAGAAAGTATTGCTCTTTCTCATCTGTGATTTAGTTTGACTCCAAGTTTCTGGTTATGTTGTTACAGGGTTTGGCTCTCTTGGGTTGATGACGTCGGTCCTGGTATGTTTATTTTTCTACAGATTATATTTGCTGCAATGTGACCCGTTCAAAAAAAATATTGCCATGTCTGATTTTGTGTCCCTATGTCTATCTGGCGTGGTTTCACTCAAATCCCGTTGCCCTATGATTTTTTCAAATTACACTTACCTTGTACTTCTGCTCTCAAGTTACAAGCTTGTTTCTTGCTTATATTACCAGGGTGTACTTATCAAAGAATTTGTTTCGCCTTCCTACATTAACATGTGACCCATTTTCATTTTGGGTTTTAATGCATTCTGGGTTGGGTTCAGGTCTGCCCTGATGGAAAGACCATAGAAGCCGAAGCAGCCCATGGAACTGTTACTCGCCATTACAGGGTTCATCAGAAAGGAGGTGAAACCAGCACAAACAGCATAGCCTCAATATTTGCTTGGTCTCGAGGGCTCGCACACAGGTACACAGACTAAATTTGTTCGGCTGCTGAGCTGTGGTACTATTGTGCATTTCATCTGGTTTCATGGTAAGCAGTAAAATGGAAAAAAAATGCTCCTTTTAACAGGGCAAAGCTGGATGACAATGCTAGACTCTTGGAATTCACTGAGAAACTAGAGGCAGCTTGTATTGGTGTTGTGGAGTCAGGGAAGATGACAAAAGATCTTGCCCTTCTAATCCATGGATCCAAGTGAGTGGCCAATTTGCATAATCCCTACTCATTTCTCTACCGTCACATAATATATTTTGCATTGGTTGACTCTTCATACATGGTGTAGGGTCACAAGGGACAATTATCTGAATACGGAGGATTTCATTGATGCTGTGGCAGAGGAGCTGAGAGCAAGACTTTCTTGCAAATCATCTGTATGAAAAAATTGAAGTTTGTATGAATGGTTTTGTTATTTCTCTCTCCAAACCCATATATATATATCAAATACTGGTTGGATTGGATGTCTCATTTTGTTGGCTTTGTAGTTGTAGGCCTAGGCAGTCAAGTGGGAGCTGAAGCTTTCTGGTACTTCGAACTGAGAAGAAATAAAGGGAGGGTCATCTTGTGAGTTTATTCCGGGATGGTTGTGTTTCAGTGAACTGAAATTTATCTGCTACAATTTGTGTGCTTTTTACTGCTTGAATGTATTTGGTTCGGATTGCATCATTTCAAGTTTATGTCAAAAACTAATTGATCCTACTTTGACCTTTATGACTAATTGTGGCGTATGATATGTTATTAATTTCTATTGTTTATGAATCATATCGTATTCAAGTTGATACTCATGAGATTAGAAGGTCTTCTATCTCTCCGCCCATCTTGCGGATCCACTTAAATGAGCCTATATTGTCCTTGACGACCGCGGTCACTCTTTTACTAACCCTTTGCCTTGGAAAAATGTGACCTTCAATCGGCCCCAAAATTACAGTGAACTAGTATCTTTTTTATTTTATTTTATTGGTCAGAACATTCGACTGGAGTGTATATGTCATTGCTGACTGGAGGAGACTAGCTAGCTGGCGCGTGGATTTGTGTTTGTGGTGTGACCGACTGTTAGGGCGGTTAAACAAGTCAAGTTTGAATATTTTTTGAGGTTCGTTTATGTGTAAATAGTTAAATGAGTCAGCTCGTTTGTGTAAATAATCGAATTATTATGTTCGAATTCAGCTCGATTAACACTTTTATTGACTGTTGTGTTGATCAAGTAGTGGGGTGATCAAAGATGCAGGGATCAGACTACGGTACGAAAATGAAATATTTGGGTACCATACAAAAAGCCTGTGATTAAGTTAATTGAGTGAAAAAATTATAATATTAGTGGAAAATTTATAATAATAGTGGATAAAATTATTACATTAGTAAAAATTTTAAAATAATAGTGGATAAAATTATCATAATAGTGGGTAAAATTATAATATCAGTGAAAAATTTACAATAATAGTGAATAAAATTATAACATTAATGGACAATTTATTATAGTAATAAGCAAAATTATTACAATAGTGGGTAAACTTTTACCACCACTTGAAGTACAAGAACTATATTCTATGGGTTTATGATCGATTACTAATATTAACTGGTTGATCAAGTAGTTGCACATTAAGGGCAAAATTACAACATTAGTGAAAAATATATAATAATAATGGACAAAATTATAACATTAATGAAAAATTTATAATAGTATTTGACAAAGTTACCATAATAGTGGCAAAAATTACAACATCATGGAAAAATTTATAACATTAGTGAAAAATGAACAATAGTAGTGGACAAACATATCACATCAGTGAAAAATTTACAACAATAGTGGATAGAATTACCATATCAATGAAAAATTTAAACAATAGTAGGCAAAATTACAATATCAATGAAAAATTTACTAAAGTAATGACAAAATTACTACAATAGTGAGTAAACTTTAACCACCATTTGAAGTACCATAACTATATTTTGTGAGTTTGTGATCGATGACTAATATTGATAGATCGATCAAGTAGTTGCACATTAAGGGCAAAATTATAACATCAGTAGAAATTTTTTTTACAATAATTGACAAAATTACAATATTAGTGAAAATTTTACAACAGTAATAACCAACATTACCATAATAGTGGCAAAATTACAATATCAGTAAAAAAAGTACAATAATAGTGGGCAAGATTACAACATTAGTAAAAATTTTACAATAATAGTGGGAAAAATTACCACAATAGTGGCAAAATTACAATATCTACGAAAAAATTACAATAATAGTGGGCAAGATTATAATATCAATGAAAAATTTACTATAGTAATGGGTAAAATTGCTCCACTAGTGGGCAAAATTTAACCAATATGCTAGTAACACTTTAGCCAATATTGGTAAACAGTCGTAATATTAATCAAAACAGTCGTAAATTAACTTTAAACTTACAAATTTATCCATAATTGTTGTAAATTGACCCCTCAAAAGTGATAAATATGCCCTTAATTGTGATAAATTGTCCACAATTTTGCTAAATCTCACTTTATTAGCTTATGATGGATCATAAATATTTATGATCGATCACAAACTTATTGTCTTTGAAAAAGTTTTGGGGGAGACTATTTAAACCTTATGATAGATTACAAAATCTTAGGATAGATCGTAAATATTTTGAAGATAAAAAAATAATAACTTTGATATATTCTAAATCATAATTTTTATATATTCTAAAAATAATAATAATTGTGATATATTCCAAAAAATAATAATTAGGATAGATCACAAAAATCACTTTCACCAAATTAATATAAAATTCACCTTCAATTTTATTTATTAAAAATTAATACCAACCTGACCACCAATTTTACTAAATAAACATTAATTTGGTAACCAAATTAATATCAAATTTTGTCAATGGACTAACATCAAGTTATTTTTTAAAATTTGATGAATTAAATATTAATTTTATATTAATTTGATGAACTGTATATTAATTTGATAAATTTAATGTTAATTGAATGATTTTGGATATTAATTTAATGAATTAAATTTTAAATATTTAAAATTGAATATTAATTTGAGACATTGAATGCTAATTGGATGACATTGATTATTAATTGTATGAATTAAATATAAATTAGATTAATTAAATGTTAAATTTGTGTTAATTTGATAAATTGGATATCAAACAGATTAATTTGGATGTTGATCTAATGAAGTTAATGAGAACTAGTTAAATTTGATGAATTGAATATTAATTAAATAAGATTGAAGATTACCTTGATGAAGTTAAGTGATAATTTAGTGTTAAGTTGATAAATTGAATTAATTTGTGTATTAATTTGATTTCAATTGGATGAATTGAATGTTAATTTGATGAAATTGTATGTTAATTTAATGAATTGAATGTTTATTAGATAATTTTGTAGTTTATTTTCATGAATTGAGTGTTAATGAGATGAATTTAAATACAATTTAAATGGATTAAATGTTAATTTGGTTTTAATTTGATGAATTGAATATTAATTGAGTGAATTTGGATGTTAATATAATGAATTTGATGTTATTCAGTTGACTTTGAATGTTAATTTAATAAATTGAATGTTTATTAAATAAATTTGATTATTAGTGATTGTGGGTTAAATATGTGCCGATAACATTAGTAATTGAATATTTATTGGGTGAAGATTTTTCTTCATGAGTTCATCACCAACACAACTTCATATTCCACCAAAACCCCCAGACGCATCTACCAACATGCAGCAATCATTCACATCTTTATTGAAGCACCAAATCCAACCACCTTCTGAGGATCCACCACCAAGAAAACTTGATAAACCCATAGTGTCCTATTGTTACCCCTTTAGCCCATTGGCGGCATTAGCATAGGGCAGCCTTGCCCAAAGGCGCCCATGCCTTACCCAAAGTGGCAGAAGTCCCATGCATGACTGAGGGAGGCAGTCTATGCACATGGGCACGTAGGCACAAGTCAGCATGCAAGCAGGGAAGTTGGGTGACTTGAATTATGGGGTATTGCTGCTTGAAAGATTGAGCCGTGGGCTGGGCTATGGTTAGGCATGAATGCAATTCAATTCGGACACCGAGGGCTCCTAGCACATGCACAACATGTGAGGAAGTTGGGCATGTGCCCTGCAACAGATGGTGGCAGTTCTATACAGTTTTCTGGCAAGTGCAGAGCATGTGGGATCTCTGTCAGATTCAGACAGCCTGTAGGGAGGTTATAGACACCAGTTATAACTTACTCTGACATCCAATCACAATGACTTCTGGGAGCATTTGAATTGTAGCAGTTGCTTAGGCGGTTGGGCTTGTAACCACTACCCTGAACATTATAAATAGGGTGCTTGGGTCTGTAGTGCAACCAATAGAGTTGGGCACGTTTTTGTAAACAGACCCAAAACTGAGTTCCTTATATTTTATTGAGAAATAAGGTTTGGCTTGTTTGCCTGTAAACTCTGTGTGCTCTGTTTGTGTGTTTGCTTACTGTCCTTTCTGTGTTCTTATATGCATTCTATGTACATTCTAAGTGTTTGGCTGAGACTAAGTATGAGATCTTAGTGTCATCACGAGGTAGAAATTTGGTGAGAAATTTAACCCTATGACAATTGGTATCAGAGCTTCAGTTTGCGACCATGGCTGGTGAAAACGCTGTTGAATTTTAAGAACGTATTGCTCATCTCGAAGATTTTCTGGGCGCTCCTCAAAGTGATGGTGCAACCAGCATGGTTGTGTAGATGGAGCAGCACGCTGTTCAAATTGCGGGATTATAGATGACTTTTGATAGTTACGTTTCTGATACTTTTGATTGCGGGATCATGTCCCTCACAGACGCTGTCAAAAAAAAATATGAAGGATCTTGAAGATGAAGTGACCCTAGTAAAAAGGGCCATGAATTCTCGACCTGTTATGGGCGAGATGTCTTCAAAAAGTAAAGTCCCAGAACCAAAGGCCTTTGGAGGCACCCGAAGTGCCAAGGGTCTAGAGAATTTTCTGTGGGACATGGAGCAGTATTTTAAGGCAGTCTATGTGCCTGATGGAGAAAAAGTGACAATCACTAGTATGTATTTATCTGGTGATGCCAAACTGTGGTGGCGGACGCAAAATGAGGACGATGTCTCTGTTAGTCATCCAAAGATCGAGATATGAGAGACCCTGAAAAAACAATTAAAGGATTAATTCCTCCCTAGTAATACGACCTGGATTGCTAGGGACTCACTCAAAAAGTTAAAGCACATCAGAACAATTTGTGATTACGTGAAGGAGTTTAGTTCATTGATGTTGGACATCAAGAACATGTCAGAGGAAGACAAATTCTTCAACTTCATGTCCAGATTGCAAGGTTGGGCACAGGTAGAATTGTGGAGGCAGGGGGTACGTGATTTGCCCACTACCATTTCTACAACAGATGGCTTGGTTGACTTCAAAATGGGCGGCAACCAAGGCCTTTTTGAGAAACAAAAGAAGGATGGTGGCAGCAGGAAAGATAAGACTGGCACTTCCAAAGAAGCAAAAAAAAACGGATTGGAAGAAAAAGGAGAACATTGCTGACTCTAACAAGCCAGACAATAGTCAGAAGAAGAAAACCTTTGATTCTGTCTGTTTTCTCTGTGGTGACCCTCATGTTAAAGACTGTCGCAAAAGGGAGAAATTAAGTGCCCTTGTTGCTGCAAGTGAAAATGACAGTGATGATGATTGTCCTACCCGAGTTAACCCTCTCTAGTTGCTGAATGCAAATACTGTGGGCAAAGTTCAGTAACCTCACAAAGGCTTCATGTGTTGTACAGGCCTAGGTG